GGGGGCGCGCGGCTGCTCTGACTTTCCCCGGACTTCGAGGCCCCCGGGGCCTGGGAGCGCCCCGCAGCGCTGGCGAGGCTCTGGCGCCGGATCCGGCGAGGGGCTGGCGAGGAGGAGCTCCGGCTGAACCCTCGGGCCTCCCAGGGGGCCCCGCTCACGTGGACTGCCGGGGCGGAGATGTGGGGGCGGCGGGGGGCTGGGCCTGGGGTGGAGGGCCGCGGGCGCTAAGGCGCCGCGGGGCCCTGGACGCGCCCTACTGGGACGGTACGGCCCTGCGGTTTCCTCGCTACGGCTTGACTCACCCTCTGGCCGCAGCCCAGGCTGGCGGGATCGCCCCGAGGCGGTGGCTGCCCGGACACTGCGGCCAGGCCGCCCCCAGCTCCTGTCCCCCATCCAGTCTTTGGGTGTCGGCCCTCGGGGCTGGGTGCGCGGGCCTTCCTGTGTGCACACGTGTGCGGGGCCCGAGCGAGGGGAGAACGCAGTTCTGGAGGGGCGTGTGTGCAGATGTGGGCCATGCACGTCCTTGCAGGCACGGGTTTGCATGCGTGGCTGCGGCCTATGTATCAGCCTGCTGGGTGCACGTGCGTCCCAGCGCCAACGGACAGAGCATGGGGACACCCGGAAGCCCGCGGGGTCAGGCGCGGCGGCAGCCCCAAAGCCAGGTTGGCGGAGGGCCCGAGGCACCACGGTTATGGGCGGGGCAGGTAGAGGAAAAAGGTGGTGGAGGCGGATCCTGCGACCCTTCCCCCTCCAGCGGAGCCTAGGCTGCGCCAGGTTCTGTAGGGCCCAGAGCCTCAGCTGGGGGAGGTGTGAGGACGCCGGAGGGGTCCTGATTCAGCCCTCTAGGGGAGGCCAGATGCCAGGCCCCAGCCCGGCATGATCGCTCTCTTCTTCCTGGTCTTTCCCAATTCCCAACGTCCCTGGCCTTCCGGAGAGCAGCTAAGAGATGGAAGAGCTGTTTGTTTCCCCTGATGCTTAGGGCAGGGATGGCACAGTGGCGGTGGGCTCTTTTTCTGGACCCTGCCCTGGGCCCTGGCCGAGGTTGGTCCTCCCAGTCCAGCTCCAACCTCAGCCAGCATATGGCTTGGTGGCCCAAAGGGTGATGTGACCTGGCTCCCTGGGGTCCCGTCCTTCTCCAAGCAGTTGCTTGTCTCCTCCGTGGGGTGTGTGTGTGTGTGTGTGTGTGTGTGTGTGTGTGTGTGTGTGTGAAGGAGGCACCTACATTTTGGCTACTGGCTTGAGTGGGGAGGGGCCTCCCTCAAGGGAGTGTACACTGGGTTCTTTCTACTGGCTGGAGGTAAGGGCAGCCCCATACCTTTCATAGTCCTGTGCTGACTCCCTAGAGCCCCATCTCTCCCTCAAAGACCCCTGAGGGTCCCGGGTGGCTTCACTTCTGTTGGCTGGGTCCCAGGGTGGAGGGGGAGGCTGTCTCAGGAAATCTCCAGGGCAAAGGGCTCGCAATGGGCAAAGCCCAGGAGAGAAAGACTCCTGGGGCCGGGGTGGGTGTGGAGCAGGCTCCAAGGGGCATGTGGGGGAGGTGAGACCAGAGCCAGCACTTAATTAAACCAGAGCTCCCCGTGGTGGTGTGAGGGGGGAGGCTTAGCACCCCCAAAACCGTACAACTCCTTGCAAGGTTGCTGTGCCACAGGATGGGGCTTTCGGTCTGGGATGCAGATCTCTGTCATAGAGCATTGCTATCAATACTGTTACCCTGATGCCCATTCTGGTCTTCTAGGGGACATTCCCTTCTCTAGGCTGTCCTGAGGTGTTGGATTCTGGCCAGGAGATGAGCCAACTTTTTCAGAGTGCCGCCTGGCTTCCGTGGTGCAGTTAGGCTGGGATGGGAGTGGGCATTGGCCCTCATACTACCCTTGGCTTTTCTTGTCCCCAAGATGTGATGGTCTCCTTCTGAGCCTGTGGTTGTCACTGGCCACCAGCCAGAAGGGAGGAGAGGGCTGGGAGAGGGGGCTTGGTCATAGCTTGCACCTGATCCATGGCCTAATCATAGCAAGAGGGAGCTGATTCATCCTTTCTAAGCCACCTGAGGGTTTCGGGCAACAGGGTGCTAGGGGAGGTGGAGGAAGGGTGATGTGGCTCAAGAAGACTGGCCTCAGATGACCCTTAATGGGTCATTGGGTACCTGCTGCCTTGAGGAAACCCATGCTTGACTTCTCTGGGCCTGGGTCCCAATCCTTGCTTTCCCTTGCTTCAGGACCTTAGTCTTGCTGTAGCATTCAGTGTTTCTGTCAGTGCAGTGGGGGTAGAAGCCAGCTAGCAATCTGTGGCCCCTGGGGACTCCCTCCCTGGACATTCACATCCTCCCATCTCCCCACCTGCTTGTCCCTGGGGCTGTGCTGCCCTCGTATGCCTTGGAATAGCCAACTGCAGCTGAGGGCCTGGGATGCACACAGGCTCTCCTCCGGGACACTTGGGGACCTTCCTGCTGGTGCCACAGCGCCATCTACTGGACAACCTCGGCTCTCCTGCTGAGGGCCGGGCCCCTACAGAGCTATGCTGCCCACCACTTCTCCTGGGGGAACAGCCCTACCCTACGGAACCAAGCCCAGTACCTGTGTTGCTCTGGGCCTAGGGACCTGGGTTCCAGGCTTGGCTTTGCCATTTTTGATGAGATTGGCCAGTCAGAGAGTGAGCCCTAAAGAGTGTCTCAGGAAATCTGAATTCATAGACAATGTCCAATTCCACATCTTGGCTGCAGCGGTCATCTTGAGATCCCTATGGCATCTGGAATAAGAGCTGTAGTGGGAGGTAGGAAGCCTGTCTCTTGTTCCATCTTTATCAGGGACTTTGGGATGAATGGGTCTCCTCAGCTGTATATGGCCAACGGGGGTAGCCAAGCGAATGGATCTGCAGACTGTGCCCTGCAAAGTCTGAAACCCCAGGAAAGGGGTCTTGGGACTCATGTGGAGAGCAGCTGAACAGAAGGGGCTCCTGGAAGGGGGGTGGAGGGTATACGTTGGCAGCCTCTGTGTTGTGTGACTCATGCATTCAGTCATTCATGGTCTTTATCAAGCATCTGCTAGGTGCCAAGTTCTTCGGTGTGGCGGTGAGCCAGTGAGAAGAGCAGCCCTCAACTGCTTGCCTGTAGCCTGTTCTGACAGCCCCTACCTTTTTCCCTCTCTCTCCCAGGTCAGCAGTTGAGTAGCTGGGGCCCCTGAGGGCTTGAAGCCTTCACAGTGATGGCGGAGAAGCGGCCACTGGGGACCCTGGGGCCTGTGATGTATGGCAAGCTGCCCCGCCTGGAGGCAGACTCCGGGCCCGGGCACAGCCTGCCCCCCTCTGCTGGTAACCAGGACCCCTGCAGCTACAAGGGTGCCTACTTCTCCTGCCCTATGGGGAGTGCCCCCAAGGCAGGGTCTGAGAGGTTGGCATCTTGGACCCCATATCCACCCTTGTACCCTACCAGCGTGGCAGGACCTCCTCTTCGGACGGACAGCCTGTTGACCAGCTGCCTGCTCTACCGCCCACCAGCAGAAAGCTCTGAGAAGGTGCAGGACCCTGGTCCTGTTGAGCTCCTGCCCTTCGGTCCCCAGTCTCATTCCTACCCAGGCCCACCGTTGGCGGCACCCAAACCTGTCTACCGGAACCCTCTGTGTTACGGGCTCTCAACTTGCCTGGGGGATGGGGCAGCGAAGAGGCCACTGGACGTTGATTGGACGATGGTGACTGGACCCCTCTTACCTCCGGCTGACCCATCTTGTTCTCTGACCCCAACTCCTGGCAAGGGCCCGTCCCTAGATGGCACCTTCTTGCGTGGGGTGCCAGCTGGCAAAAACTCAGTAAGCTTCTCCCCGTGCCAGGCATTTCTGGAGAAGTATCGGACCATCCACAGCACAGGCTTCCTGGCCTCCAAGTATGCAGGTCCTTACTCTGGGGACCCCAAGCAGGCATTGTCCGACGGACCCCCCAGTCCTTGGACCCAGCTGGCCCAACCCCTGGGGCCAGCCTGCCAGGATCCAGTGCCTACCCACTACCCGCTCGCTCACCCTCCACAGGCCCTGCCTTGCCCAGCAGCCTGTCGCCACCCAGAGAAGCAGGGCAGCTATAGCTCAGTGCTCCCGCTACAGCCTCTGGGAGCCCACAAGGGGGCTGGGTACCCAGCTGGTGGGCTGAGCAGCCCCTACCTGAGGCAGCAGGCCGCCCAGGCACCCTATATGCCCACAGTGGGCCTGGACACTTTCTCCTACCCCTCTGCCCCACTTCCAGCACCCTCACCAGGCCTCAAGCTGGAGCCACCTCTTGCTGCCCGGTGCCCGCTGGACTTTGCTGCCCCCCAGACACTGGGCTTTCCTTACACCCGGGATGACCTCGCTCTCTGTGGAGCATCCCCGGGGCTTGGAGGGACGCCACCTTCCCAAAACAATGTACAGGCTGTGCCGCAGCCCAGTGCCTTCCAGCGAGCGTGCCAGCCCCTACCCGCCAGCCAGCCCTGCCCAGAGCCCGGGAGGCCTGCAGAGAAGCCAGTCCAGGAAGCAGAGGAGAAGATGTGGCTGCCCAGCTGCAGGAAAGAGCAGCTCCAGCCCCAGCTCGGTGAGCATCCCGGAGCACCCATTGTCATTGGAGATAGCCCGGGTCCGCGCACCCCTCCGGCGCTCCCGCCCTGCGCCCGGGAGCGCCAGTCTCTGGCGCCGAACGAGGGCATGCTGCCGCCCAGCTCTCCACCCATGCCGATTATCGACAATGTCTTCAGCCTGGCCCCCTACCGTGACTATCTGGACGTGCCGGCACCCGAGGACACAGCTGGGCCTGAGCCAGCCCCAGCCCCCAGTGAGAGCCCTGCCAAAGACTGGGGGGGGGCCCTGCCTGCCCGGGACGCCCCTTCAAAGGCTCACTGCTCACTTAGAGAAGAGGTAGCCCTGGACTTAAGTGTGAAGAAGCCTGTGGCAGAGGCTCCCGTCGGGGTTCCTAGTCCCGCGGTGCGTGCCGAGCCCACGGCAGCCCTGGATGCGCCAGCTGTGGGGAACACAGTCTCGGATCTGCCAGACCTGGAAAAGGTAGTCTCGGAGGCACCGGGGCTGCCCGGGGTGCCGGCGACCACCGAGGCCGCCCCGCGGACCAACTTCCACAGCTCCGTAGCCTTCATGTTCCGAAAATTCAAGATCCTCCGGCCAGCACCCTTGGCTGCAGCCGCAGCCCCATCGGCGCCCACCCCTGCCCCTGCGTCTGCCCAGCCTGTACCCACCCCCACATCCGTGCCCCTTGGTCTCCAGATTCTCACACAGCCCTTGCCCGTGGCCTGCTTCAACCTGGCGCTGCCCAGTCCTCCAGCCGTAGCCATGGCCTCCCCCACCCCGGCCCCGGCCCCATCACCTGCCCCGGCCCAGGCTCCGGCTTCTACCCCTGCGGCGGCGGACTCTCCAGAGCAACACTTCACAGGACTGCATGCGTCCCTGTGCGATGCCATCTCGGGCTCAGTGGCGCACTCCCCGCCCGAGAAGCTGCGCGAGTGGCTCGAGACGGCGGGGCCTTGGGGCCGGGCGGCGTGGCAGGACTGCCAGGTTGTGCAGGGGCTGCTGGGCAAGCTACTGTCGCAGCTGCAGAGCTTCGTGTGCACACAGCAGTGCCCCTTCCCCCACGTGGTGCGGGCCGGGGCCATCTTCGTGCCCATCCACCTGGTGAAGGAGCGGCTCTTCCCACGGCTGCCTCCCGCCTCCGTGGACCACGTGCTGCAGGAGCACCGAGTGGAGCTGCGGCCCACCACGCTGTCCGAGGAGCGGGCGCTGCGCGAGCGGGCCCTGCACGGCTGCACATCGCGCATGCTCAAGCTGCTGGCCCTGCGCCAGCTGCCCGACATCTACCCCGACCTGCTGGGCCTGCAGTGGCGTGACTGCGTCCGCCGCCAGCTGGGTGAGCATGGGGCAGCCCCAGTGGCCACCGGAGCCGTGTGAACGAGTGACAGGTGTGTGGGCTGTGTGAGTGGTCGCAGCCAGGGCTGACGGACGCCTGGGCCTCGGAAAGCGCGGGGAGGCCCAAGAACTCGTGCTGGGGAGGGCGCTGGCCATCCCGGGGAGGCCCTGTGGACCCCCCCGCATTCCTCCTCACCCCGGCACCACTGGGGGCCTTCACAGCGTCTGCTGCAAGCATCTGAGCGGGCCCGCCGCTCTGTCCCTCTGGAAACTTTTCTTGACCTTCCCCGATGCCGCCGCTTGCCGGCTTCCCTCCTCCGCTATGCCTTCTCCGGCCACGGTGCAGACTTCTCTGGATTCTGGGGCTCTGACGAGGCCCTGTTCTCTATCTGAGGTCTCTTCCCCCTGGGTCTGTGTCCCACCCAGCGTCCCTTCTTCTGAGCTTGAGCCCCAAATTACTGAATGCATGCTGGCCTTTTGCACCTGGTATCTCTCCAACCCTTAACTCCTCCCAGACCCACACTCCTGAGCTTTCCCCTGAGCCCTCTGCCCTCCCCCCACAGCCTTCTCCACCTCAGTCAATGGCACCTGATTCCCCAAAGCGGGCAGGGATCCCCTTCTCCCCCCAAACACGGTTGCCTTTTGAATGTGCAGTGTTTCAGTCCTCCCAGTATTTATATTCACGGAAGTGCACCCATAAGTTGGAGCGATGTTTTGTGGTTTGCTTTTCCCCTACTAAATGACGTCTCGTGCATATTGTTTTCCAGCTTGCTCTTTTTATGTCCTGGAGCATCATGTGCATTGGTTCAGGTCGCTTGGTCCTGCTGTGGGCAGCTGTTGCGGGGTCACATGCTGTGGGTACTCATTTCTTCAGCCGGGACTTTGGTGATGGTGCCAGGTGGTGCCCATCGTGGCCTCTCCTGCATCAGGACACCTGGCACATTGAGGCCTGTGACCCGCTCTGTAGTCTTTCCTTGCTGCTCTGCCATCCTGCCACCAGGCTTCTGCTGGGCTGTGTCTCCACAGGAACGGTTTCTCGTCATCCTGGCAGCCTTGCCGTGGGCTCTTACCTCGTCCTGGCTCCGTGTCAGGGTGGGGAAGGCACCCGAGGCAGTGAGGCACAGATGTGGAGCTTGGGGTCTGGGTGATAAGCAGTGCTGACCCCCGAGCACTTAAGAGGTTGGAGCGTTTGCCCTAATGGGTGCAAAGAAAACACAGTGGGAGTGTTGTTGAGCGGGGGTGGGGGGGTGTATCATGCGTGGCTCAGAGGCTCCAGCCCCGTCTTCTCCCTGGACAGTTGGGCACTTGGGCCCAGAGAGGACAGGGCCGTATTTCCCGGGCTGCCGGCTGGGCGCTGGGGCCCGGGCGCTCCACAGTCCCCTCCTGCCCTGACTGAGCCTGCAAGAGTCTGGGGCCTAGTGAAGAACTGATTGGGACCCAGCTTCTTCCTGCTGCTGGCTGGATTTGGCACCCCAGTCCCCACTCCCTGAGCTGTGAGTCCTCCCCAGACCCGGGGAGGGGGGTCCACCCTTCCATGGGTGTCCGTGTTCTCCCTGACAGTCTCCCTTGCCAGTAGGTGTGCTCTTGGTCAGAAGCCCCCTCCTGCCCCCTCTGTTGCTTCCTCCACTCCTGGGCTCTGGGGGTGGTCTGGTAGAAGGATGCTACACTTATGTGTAGCAGGGCTCTCTCTCCCCATGCCTCAGTTTCCCTGCCTGTACAGCCAGTGGTTCCTGGCCTGTTGGCCCCTTTCCTTTTGTTCTTGCACCAGACACTTCGCCTGAGCGGTACCGTCATCTAATAGGGCTCTGGCGTCACCTGGGGAGAAGCATACTCTTCGGCTTGATGGTCTGGCCTCCAGCACACATGGGGAAAGGTCATAATGGCCGTGACCCTGCCGGGGCCTTCCAGTCCTGAGGCAGAGTGGAACCACTGGTCTAGGTGGCTTTGGAGGCCAGGAGATGGGGCCTGAGGGTGCTGGGGTCTGCGGCCTGACTGTGTGTTCATTTTCCAGGTGACTTTGACACTGAGGCTGGATCTGTGCCCTCCTCAGAACCCACCATGGCCAGAGATGAGCCGGAGAGCCTAGCCCTGGCTTGGAAGTCACCTGTCCCCAAGGCCAGGAAGCCAGGGAGGAAGCCACCAACCCCTGGCCCGGAGAAAGAGGCAGCCGCTGGGGAAGGGTCCCACGGTACCTCCCCTGCCCCTGCCGCCAGCACCAGCCCCCGCGGCCCCACGCTAAGGGCCCGCTTCCGCAACCTGCTGGAAACTGCCTGGCTCAATGGCCTGGCACTGCCTACTTGGGGCCACAAGGCCTGAGGGCCGGAGCGGCCTGTGCCTCACCCACACGTGCTGGGTGGCCAGAGCCATTGCTGTAGCACTGGTGGCTGTTTGGGGGTCACTGTCTGAACCCTTACCTTTTGTAAGGCCAGCTGCCCAGGGCCAGGAGTGGACATGCCCTTGGAGCTTCTGCTCTTGT